GATGTACACATTTGTATTTTTAGGCATTCATTTCTATCTTTTTGGAACAAAAATCTAACTTTTGAAACAATGCCGCCCCAGTGACAGATTTTGTGCCTTCATTTCTGAGAGTGTATGGAGAATGTGGGAGCACTCAGGTTTTATCTAAATCTAAATTTCTATCTTAATTTGTGTTCAGAAGGTCTCAGGGGGAATGGAATGACACAAAGGTGTGTAATAAATCATTTTTAAAACTAAACATTTAATAGTTTGAAGTTATAACGCTTATAAGGCTACAATATCATCTATCCAATCTTTAAAATACTTATCCCCTGTAATTCAATGCAGACAGACAGACAGATAGATAATGTAGACAGACAGACAGATGTGTAAATGATGTCTGTAAATAATGGTGTCAGTTTCTGAATCTCACACTGAGAAAAAGGTTGCTTCCACCACTTCACCCTATAATACTGCATCACTGTTTCACAGCAGGAGAGCACTGTTTTTCCATACTAGCAGACAAAACCCAACAATCCTCCGCCTACCATACAAGCATCACACCTAACCATTCATTAGTCCACTATAATACTAGGTGACAGTGCTGTTCGAGAGCAACATCTTTAAACAACCCCTCATTTTACAGAGCGTGGGATATATGACTCCTCAGCTTTTATTGTTCTGATTTACAAGGAAGGAATTGCTACATGGTCATGAGGTAAACTTGTAAATCGAGTCGACTGCAGTCACAACGATTTGGTACGGTCAATTTAGCAAACTTTCAGTGGCAGTTCACACATGCAAAAATGTCATTGCCAATAGGGGTGAGATGTATAAAACATGTATATAAGCAAAGTGTACTCATGCCCTCATGTGAAAGTCCTGATTGTGTGAATTCCTATGGGACTGGCTAAAATGTGTCTGTTAATATACTAGGTCAATGGTGCATCTGACTGCATTATTTTTTTAGAAACAGACTGCGTTATTTCAAGACATTAGTTCAGTTTTCATCTCCATTTTCCTTCATCCACACTTATAGGGAGCAGCAGTGTTTTTAAAATGAAAATAGCCTCTTTAGCATTTTCAAAGCATTGAAAACTCTGGGGTAGTGTGGACAGAAGGTCTAACCGTACCAAAAGTTGTGTTTTAAAAAACTAAAATGAATTAGTGTAAACGGGGCCTTAATACTGAGGTGGCCACATATCGGTCACTATTTCCAGTAAGCATCTAAACACACTTATAGCAAGTAAAACGGCATTCACACCCCCTTTTACGTGTGAGTTTTAAATACTCCAGTCGACCCTCCTGCGTGAATTTTTTTGTGACCATTGCTTAGAATCTATTTCATTCTAAAGTTCCCAAGCATCAAGTTTATCACGTGACCCACCAGCTCCAATGACCTATGTATTATCATATTGTTTCTTATTAGCCCTTTCTGCGAATATTGACAAATATTCTTATTAAATTGCTAAATTTCTGATACTCTGATTCTAAAATATGTGATAAAAGATCATTTTTACCTTTTAAACAGCTTAATAATGATCATATTATTTGTTAAATGACAGGTAATGGGCACACCGTTGTTGCTAGAAGGGATACAGCTGTGATCAGAAGTTAACGACAGGTATTGTCAGGGTTCTGCCACTCTGGTCTTGTAAATTCTTGTTTTGGTGGCAGATCTCGGACACTACCCGTGTCTGGTCCTGTTTCTGTCTCTGTGTGCGCGCGCCGTCGTGGGTGTATGCAGAGTGTGCGCGCTCCTGCTTGACGCGGCCGCGCGCGCTCTGCGTCCCTCAGACGCGTGCGCTCTTGTACTCGTGTTTGTGTTTTCGTCTGTCAGCACAAGGTGTTTCATTCCCAGCGTCTCAGTCTTGTTGGTTTCGGTTTTGGTCGGCGCTGGGATGAAGCATGCATGCTGCATGTGTGAGTGCACGGTGAGTGTTTTCATTCATCGTGTGCTTGTGTCTTGCGTCTTTTGTCAAAGCACGTGGCTCGGTGTTTACATTGTGGTCACGTGTTTTTGTCGTGTGCTTCAGTGTTGTGTTATGTGAGCGCATGGCTTGTATTGTCTCTCTGTGTCATGCGCTCTCCCGTCTATTGTCTAGTCCCACCCTCCTTGTTAACCCATTATTAGTTAATTGTGTTCACCTGTTTGTGTGTTAATTTTCTACAGTTTATAGACCCCTCACATTTGTTGTCCTGTGCCAGTTCGTCATCACATGTCGTTGTATGAAGTCTTGTCCTGTAGTTTTACCAGTCCTCATCCTTATCAGTCCTGTTTGTATGTATTTGTTTTGTTAATGTTTTCCCCCTCGGGGTAGTTTATTTTGCATTTTATTTTATGTTTATAATTTAATAAATTCCCCATTTTCCTGCACTTGAGTCCTCGCTCCTTTCCCCTCACCAACCCTGACAGGTATTTATATAATTTATTAAATTTCCCATTGATTTATTAGCGTCTACCACTACCTGTATAACAAGCCATCACAATAATATAAAATATTATTTGTTGTACAGGGTTGCAAAAAACATGCAACATTGAAGTGAGCATCCTCAGCTGTATCCCATCTAGACTTCACCCTCTCTTGCAGTGCGGTCAAGTCCAGATGGGATACAGCTGAATCTAGTCATGTCAATATATCATAATTTTTGTGAAACTGTACAACAATTGGGCAACGTGGTGGCGCAGTAGGTAGTGCTGTCACCTCACAGCAAAAAGGTGACTGGTTCGAGCCTTGGCTGGGTCAGTTGGCATTTCTGTGTGGAGTTTGCGTATTCTCCGTGTGTTCGCTTGGGTTTCCTCCGGGTGCTCCGGTTTCTCCCACAAATCCAAAGACATGCACTATAGGTGAATTGGGTAGGCTATAATTGTCCATAGTGTATGTTTGTGAATGAGAGTGTATGGGTGTTTTCCAGTGATGAGTTGCAGCTGGAAGGGCATTCGCTGTGTAAAACATATGCTGGATAAGTTGGCGATTCATTCCGCTCTGGCGACCCCAGATTAATAAAGAGACTAAGCCAAAAGCAAAATGAAAGAATGAATGAATGAATGAATAAATTAATGAATGTACAACAAATATAATTTTTACAATACTGTAAGGGTTGGGTTTAGGGTTGAGGTAGCAGTAGAGGCTAATAAGTTCATGCGTAATTTAATAAATATAAATACAGATACAGTGTGAGAACCTCTTTATGTGTCCCAACGTGCGCTATCAGATTTGAACTTTAGAAGTTGATGACATGCGTTCTGACATTCTAATCACACTGGTGTGATCGTAAGTTTCAGGGAACAGCCAAGGCTGATCACACCCGTGTGATCTTATGCATGAAATTGTTAAATAAATATCATAATGCTGGAATTATTTTTTTATGTTGAGGTAAAATATGAAAAGTCTGCAACTATATCCACTATAAATAGCATCTAAAAACACGTATTACAAATAAAATGTTGTTCTTACATATAGTGTAAATACAATACACCACTATTTGCATGTAGTATAAATAGTATAATTTGAAGAAAATTCATCTTTTTCACTTAGTATAAACTGTATCTCAGAATATCTACAGTGAATTGCACAAACTGTCATGGTATACAGCTCAAAATGTACACACTAGAAAGACTCCAGATTTCCAATGTCTCTGCGCTTTCTCTCTGAATGATGTAAAGGTTAAACTTGTCTTTGCACTTGTTTAAAATAGAGTTGCATATATATTTAAAACCCTTCACCCATGCACTCATTGCCACTGGCATCTGTTTTTTTTCTTTTTTCTTTTTTCTTTTTTTTTTTTTTTTGTCATATTCAGAAGACTTGATTTCTTTTCAAACGGTGTAACAAAGTTACTGGTTCACTGCTGACACACTATAGACAAGCAAACAGTACACTAAGTTCAGAAGCAATTCAAAGTCCATGCTATAGTCATGTTTGCTTAGAAATATTGGGCTTTATGATAATGCTGTGCACATTTTTGCACAGTGTATGCATATCAAATACATACAAATTGAAGTAATTCATCAAGTTTTTTGTTTTTGTTTGTTATTATACCTGTTAAAGTGTTTTTTTTTTTTTTTTTGGCTGCAGCCTAATATTGTGATAACAACATAAACCGGGATATGAGCATCAACAATTAATTGCAACAAGAAAAATTGATATTGTCATAAGCTTACAGTGCAGACATCCCCAAGCATCACTCTGTTTGTTATCTCTGCAGCACCACGGTTGAAATACTTTCAGTTTTGTACATCGATAGTAATCCAGCAGCCTCAATCGTTTTGGGTCAGGGGAACAAGCTAGCATGCAGCATAGTGTGGAATACACATCTTAAAAAACAGGTGACAAGACAGCCAAACTCGCACAGGCTCTGTTGCTTATCCCGTCGACACACATCATTGTACAACACTTTGCCATGAGTCCCAATGAGGCAGATTTACAGCTGTAGAGGAGATGCTTCCCCCTCCAGCTGCTGGGCCAGCACGGCTCCGTGGGGAAAGGGATACAATGTAATCAGTGGAACAAAACAGAGCACTGCCCTTAACTGGGGAGGATCAACCGAAAAGCAGCAGGGACCCACTCACCTACCACTAGCTCAAATCTCCTCTCTGATGGGCGCATCCAGAGAAATCTCACAGGATAAAAGAGATGTTTGATTCCGGAGATAAAATCCAAGAAGGCAGAACTAAAGGAAGGCTCAGGGTTACATGGAGGCCCATGGGGTAGATCCCCGGGGGTATGACTCCTCAATATTTGAGACAGCCGAGGAAGATTATGAGCATGTCAGCGGTATTTACTCATCCGGTGTGGTATAAAACTCAGAGGGGGAAAAAGAAAAGCGAACAACAGACCCCAGAGGAGACACCCTGGCCGTATGGATTGCTGCTCCTCGCTAGGATTATTGATCTTCGCAGACAAGCTAATTTGTCTGTCAGTGTTGGCCAAGTGCCCGTGAAACAATGTCTGTGCTTGTCCATTTGCTAAAGTCTAGTGTGAAAGCAAATCAGCATGAGAAGCGCTTGATGATCCTACCTGAGTGGACAAACTGGAGCCGTTGACTACAGTAACTGTGTTAGCACAGCTAGCCCAGACCGAGTTCTCCAAAGCCAGCAGAGTCCTGATGGGATGTGAACCAATTGTTACTTTTCTAGAGGTGTCTTGGTTCCAAAGTCCCCCTAAGAATCAGAAGAAACACAAAAATATGCATTAAGTCCATCATAAGAAACTATTTTGAACTATATATAGCATATAAAATGCTTTACCCAAGAACTGAGTCTTTTCTTTTGTCATTTCCTCCATACTTTCATTTCTGAACACATTTAACTACGTTTTGCAGTTGAAATGGACAAATGCAGCTAATGCTAATATCCATAGATATTTATATAAGATGTCGCCTACGCTATCATTGTCTATTCAAAGGAATGCATCAAAAGAGCCACCCTTTTAGCACTCCTTTGAAATGAATGTGAGACCAAGGTGTAGTGGAGAACTGGCCATTCGGAGCCATTGATATGTAAACATTTATACATTCACACAGTTTTCCCAGTGGTCAGTAAGCAAATATTTGTTTAAATTACAAAAATTTTCATTTTACATCACTTTTCTACATTGCTGGATAAGTGACCGCAAGGGAATTGGTGACAAAGAGCGTGTGCTTGTGTGCCTGGAAATATATTATCCTCCATGCCTGTTAAATTTGATCATATCCATGTCCTGAAACACACCCCCTCTTCTGCTTTCATTTCTAATGCTAACGAAGTGAGTGATTCGTTTAAGAATGAATCTCCGTTATGTATGACTCGTGTGAACCATTGACATCCCTGCATGTGCATAATATTCACCTTTCAGTATATACCTAAATGGTATATAACCTTTGTAATATCCAATAATTTAAGGTGGAACGTATGCACATTGAGGCGCAGGTATTATGTTATCAGGCACCTTATACTGTAAGCTACTTCAAAAACGAGCCCTTACTTCACTTAGCTGACAATAATACAAGTTTCTGGCACCGCAGCATCTTGTAGTCTTATTTAAATTGCATTGACTATTATCATCAATACTATTACTTGTTTAGCACAAAAGTTTGTAACATACAAACAAAATCGTACCTATGAAATGCTACGTCTTTATGCTTTGTTTTCTTTGTTTACTCGTTACTACACCTGTATGCAGCGCTAAAGTCCACCATCTTCAGAATGGATTTAGTCTTGACTATTGTGATTCAATGACATTTGTGCTGGGAGTACTGTACAAATGTGGCGGTGGTATTGACGCATGCTCAGGGTCCGTATGCAATATCGAACTCTGTGTAGCCCAATTACACACATTTTACCAACAATTGTTTTTAACATTAAACTTACACATATAAAATGACAATGAGTCAAAAAAATAAAGATGTTTAATGTGCAGTGTATTCATTTTTTAGACAAAAATAATCTAATTTTAGTAGGTTTAAGATAGCGAGGATGCTAGAGATTGTGCAGTGCCATTTATGCGATCCAAGACCTATAAAGAGATGATGCCAACCATCGAGGACCTTAAGGACAACTCATACGAAGAGATGATGCCAACCATAAAGGACTTAGAGGTCTCTACAATCCCGAACCAGACCGTAGTATCCTGAGCAGATGTTGTTGTGGTCATGGAGGTGTGGAGAGCATGAGACTGATTCCTGAAAGACTACAGTGACAGACGAGTCTCCGCATTGGTCCTGTGGACCAGTTTGTACACCTGCCGGTACCTACTCACACCTGCAGCTTCTCCCCGATGGATGTCCAGCGTTCTCCAGTGTTCGGTTCCTAGACTGCAGCTCTGCACGAGAAGTTTGGCCAGAGGAGAAATGGTTGTACCCAGCTGAGCCTGGTTTCCCTCAAGGTTTTTTTTTTGTCCTTCATTTTTATCAGTTGGTGAAGTTTGTTCCTTGCCTACTGGTCTGCTTGGTTGGGACTTGTAGAGCTGCGCATTAATAGATTTGCTCTTCAGTGTTTGGACTTTCAGAAGTGAAAATTAAACCACACTGAACTGAATTAAACTGAACTTCAACTCTGAAAACTGAACTGACACAGTTTCAATTCACTAGAACCTCTTTTTTTAAGCTGCTTTGACACAATCTGCATTGTAAAAGCGCTATAGGAAATTAAAATGGTCGTGCCCAACTGAGTCTGGTTCTCTCAAGGTTTTTTTTCTTCACTCCCATCAGGTGAAGTTTTTTTTCCCTCTCCGCTGTCGCCACTGCCTCGCATGGTTCAGGATTGGTAGAGCTGCGCATCGATGAATTTGCTCTTCAGTGTTTGAACTCTCAGTAATGATTAAATCACACTGAACTGAGCTAAACTAAACTGAACTGAACTTAAACACTAAAACCTGAACCACACTGTTCCAGTTACTATGACCATTTATGTGAAGCTGCTTTGACACAATCTACATTGTAAAAGCGCTATACAAATAAAGCTGAATTGAATTGAATTGAATATAGGAAATAAAGATGAATTGAAAAAAATTTAAAAGAAAGCCTCGTTTAATGGAAAAACCCACACACTATAATTTACAATATTTTAATTGCAACTGTAATGAAATTAATTGCAAAATGCAACAAATATTAACATTCTCCTCATCACATAGATAATGGATCAAATATCGCATACAAGTGGATATAATTATAACTAGTGATCCTAAATATATACAGTAGTTATGTTTGAAATGTACAGTTACACCTAGAAAACATCCCAAAATGTTTCATCCTGCATATTTGAAAGTTTTACTGCACAGTAAACAGAAAATGAGGTAAAGGCACATGGTAGCAAATACCACGAAGCCTGCGAAATACCTTGCTTCAAGGCAAAATCGCTAATCCTATCTAGTAGAACATTTCACATACGGCCAAAGATAGTCAATGCTTGTAAATTTGCATGTTATTTCCCTTAAAAATGAATGCTTCAAATAGCACAGCTACAGAAATGTGCTGCATGCTAATTCCACAGCTTTTGCCCTAAGCAAGTCACTTAAAGTAAATTGGTTTCATTAATACTCGAGAGTAAATCCTTGTGTTTGCAAGACAAATATGTATAACTGGTAGTGGAACTGTATAATTTGTGACTACGCCTTAAAAACATACAGCTTGAACAAGCAGCGCACAGCGTATTTGTGGACTGCGTCTCTCCCTCAAAACTAGCGCTTTTTATGCTAATGCGCTAAAAGTGCCATGTTAATAACTGTGGCGTGTTGTGTAATCCAATTTATACATTTCTCTCCAGTGTGCTCACAACACACCAGACTTTTTCCAGAGTTTTAATCACAGGGTTTGTGCCGTAGCCACTATGGACACTATTATGGGATGCATTACATAAGCCTTTTCTGCGTCTTTTTCGCCCCCATCACAGTGTGTTAATGAAACAAAATTAGAGAGGGAAGCGCAGCGAGCCATTTAATTAACATTTCGAGTTGTTTATTTCTGCCTTTGAAACCAGAATAGCTTTACAATGACTTCCGACTTCCTCAGGTTAATTGCATGGCATATTCAAAATGTCAGTCTTCCCACTTTTTTTGCGTGCATATGCTTTGAAAACATCCCCTCAGCCACTCGGTTCCCCCTCATCCTCAAATGAAGGCTGCCTCAGATTTGTCCCTTTCAAAGGCAAGGACCTTCAGGGCCGGAGACGACTTATCTGGACACTCAAAGCATCTGCAGATGCAGTCTTTGCTTTATTGCTTGAAAAGTAATAAAGTAGAGGGGGGTGGATGCCGTTTCTTCAGATGAGTGCTTATTGCTTCTGGGTGTAATATATTTACGCATTTTCTTTGTACAGTTAGACACCTCATTATTATTCTTAAAAATACTGCGTACTGTTCATTAAACGACCCTACCTTATTGTATCAAGAAAAATAAATGGAAGGAACAAAAAAAGCTATAAATAATATTAATGTCAGTTTAAGTCAATTTTATGCCACTCATTATGTAATGCCAGAATAACAATATACACTCTTCCGAAGAATATTTCATTTAATTTTATTTAAAAAAATAAAATAAAATAAAATAAAATAAAAATAAATAAATAAATAAATATATATATATATATATATATATATATATATATATATATATGATAATAATAAAAAAAAAAGTGCAAGGTAAAAACTAACAGAGGCTGTGATATATGCTGCCAGATCTAATTTCAGTTGTCAGGCACCCACGTGAAAACAATGCCTCCAATGTGAAAATGTGCCTCCACTAGAGAAAGAGATGTTTCACAATCAGCTAAGATGTTGCTAGAATTGTTTTTTACGTATGGCCGATATATATTGCATCACCAAAAATTATTGAGGTCAAGTCCATGTGTTGTGCGATAAGTCGATATATAGATTACTGTGACAAGTCTATCTGTTTTGAAAATGAATATTTGTATCAATTTCTTAGTGAATATAGGCAATGTATTTTGGTACATTTAAACAAAACAGATTTATAAAACAGATATATTTAATAAAATAATATTTTAGTCACCAAACATATTTAGAAATTGAAAGATAATACAATTAAATTCAAGCAAAATATTCCAAAATAAATGATGACATATAAAATTTCAAGTACATTTTTTTGATTGTCTTGATTTTTCCTCTTTTTTTTATTTGTATCTACAGTTTCTTCAAACTGTTTTAACACATTTTCAAAACAGTGTCCCCTTTTTTCAAAACTCAACACACAATTCCCAAAACTGCACACACAAAATACAAAATGTTTCACATTTCCTTCAAAATGTAACACTGCGTTTAAAAAGCCATAAACACTCGTCAGAATGAAGCACTTGCATCAAATGGAAAACACGTCTTTCATAATATAACACTTTTAGATAAAGCATGCCAACACTGCTGTTCTAAATCTAAAGCTCTTTGCTCTTTATAGGCTGATTTCGGTACAGTGTACCACAGTGACAGTAATCTATTGAGAGGGGGAACAGAAACACTGTAAACACCAATGACATGAAGAAACAGAAGATAATCATTATGCCAAACAGTATTGGTGTATATAGCATACAAAAAAAGATTTACATATTGTTTGTAAAAAAATTTAAGCAAAAGTATATGCTTTATAATACAGTGTAGAACACAATTGTGTGTGTGGGAACGTCATGCGGGCACAGGGTTGCCCATCATACATTTTACAGCTCTGGGCTCAAAATAATTTTTCTATTTTTTATAGGAATTTAGGATATAGAAAAGGTGAATATGCGGTAGGTACATAACCACAAATTGTGGATGGTTGGCAAACCAGTTTTTATTGGACCAGTACAGAACGGTGTCAAATCACCTTTGGCCTATACTAGAGTAAAGCAGTGATTGGTGAGTGAGTGTGTGTGATCCAGTGGATAAATGTTGCATTTTGATTGGTTGTGTATGGAAAAGGAAAGCAAGTGGCTTCCTGTTAGAGTTTAGTGTTTTAGGAGGAGAATTGTGTGTAGAGTTTTGAAAAAAAGTGTTTTATGCAAATGAAAAATGAGTTCAGGGCTGAGAAACAGCTTCTTGGTTTTAGAAATTCGCTGCATAGTTTTGCATTTTGAGACGTTTCAATAATCATGTGACAAGAAATGATTTGGTGTGTTATTAGTTAGAAAACCTGTAAGATTTTTCTGTTATTGTAAGTTATTTCAAGTCTTCACACTTTTTGGTAATAAGCTAGTTTGGCATGCTGTCTTGGGAGAGAACCCTCAGCTCATGAGATCCTCGAGCCCGGGGCTCCATCCCATTTGCAGGGCGAGAGGTGGAGTTTGTGCTCAGGTAGATCTCAAGAACCCCACTCCCTTCTGCTGCTTAAGGATTACTACGAGGGTGTGTTGCAGGTGAAATTTGACTATGGTGCTGATTTACTTTAGTCAGTTTACTTTTGTCTCATGTTTTGGACTGTGGGAGGAAACCGGAGGAGCTGGGGAAAACCCACGCGAGCACGGGGAGAACATGAACTCCACACAGAAATGCAGACTGCCCGGGTAGAGACCCGAACCAGAGGCATTCTTGCTGTGAGGCCTCAGTGCTAGCCACTGGGCTGCCGTGCTGCCCTATTGAGGAAAAACAGGAGGAGAGAGGGTGGAAAGGGGGATTCTACAAGACAAAGATGACTAAAGGTAAGATGAATGGTTATTTATACTGAGTTAAAAATCGTTTGATTGGTGGTTCATACATTAGCTTGAATCGGGGCCAGCACATGATCCTCTCGAAATTATTTTATAAATAAACTTTACTTTGATAAGCTCCAGATTTGGCTTCAGAACTGACTAATCTAATGTATATGCACAAATATAATATTGCATAGCTTCCTATTAAAAATATTAATTTAAAATAGAGATTTGTGAGAAGTGTACTTATATATGCTAAGCACTGTACAGTAAATGTAAAAAACCTATATACTTCCCAGGGAATGTATCTGCTTGCAATTCATTTCTTTCCACTACATGAATAGTAATATTCAATCGCCACACTGCACATCAACATAATTAATCTTACTTTCCACTTCAGTGGAGGTAATTCCTTGTTGACAGCCAGGTAAGTAGTGCATTGTGATAAACCCATTGTGCCAGGGTTGTCTGGCTCTCACCACCCCCAACGTACACATAGACACACGACACTGTCTCTTGCTATCTATCTTGTCTCCAAATCCAAGAGTTCTGCATGCTGCCCGTCTCGTGTTGTCATTAGCCCACACTTACTTACTGCAAATGAATAAGGCGCAAGCTCGGGCAGAGGACAGACTTGCGAAATCATAAATTGCTTTCAAGGTAATCCCGAATCCATTGGCTTTCCATCTAACTAATACATACCCAGAACAATCTTATCGTTCCTGTCTCATCTCTGAATGCATGACAGAACTAATATCTTTCACATACTCACTGAGGCATTCAGCTAACAGAGGAGGGACCAAAAAAAAAATAACATCCTTGAATGTTTGAATGGAAGGTTGATGAAAGAGCAAATTGAACACGGGGACAATCAGATTCATTTGTACTATTAATTTGATTTGATTACCCTTTCACTCTATTGAGTCCCTTTCATTTGGGGACATACTAATAATTACCCCTTTTAATTATCCCACCCATTTAGTGTTTAATCCCATTAGTGAGAAAAAGAAGGGAAAACATACTGAATGTAACTGTCCGTTTCTGTGCTAATGTGATAAAGAGAGAAAAAAACAAGCCTAATAGGATAGAAATAACATAGACATTTAAATCCAAAGTGATTACCCAAAATCCTAAACAAACGTCAGCAATATATGCAGAATGAGCTTTGTTTTGCATTATGCATACAAGCAAAAGAGAAATAACTGTATACATCCTCACGCTTTAATTAAATTCGGATTACAAATTAAGTTTTTGTTTACATAAAAGTCATATTTACCAGTGGGAATAATTTAAATACAAAATATAAAGGAGTATGACCCAGCCTGATCTCTTGAGGAAATGTACTGTAACTATTTTGCATACTAGCAGAAAAGAGGCTAATTTGTACAAACTCATGTATGTATGTTTTTTTTAAAGGAGACATGCTCCCACCCCTGAACCCAACTGTCATTGGGGATGAGCCTGTCATACTCGTATGAATGTGTTAATACAAATTTATACAATTTAGCCACTAAATAAAAAGTTACACGTATTAAAATGTTATTAAATTCTAAATTTACACACCAAACGTGGCACAGACAGTTTAATGGTCATAGATGTCCTAAATGCACATAAATTACAACTGTATACTCTGATGAGGCATATTTTATGGAGCCAGATCAATCTCAATACTAATACATTTACAAAATAATATTCATAAATGCACAGCACAATTCACATTCACAGAATTTGTAAATTCGAAACAAAATTCATGAATACAACAAACGATTCATGACTTTACAAGTAAAAATCTGAAATATTTACACCAAATGAATTGGATTTGTGTTGCTAAATTTAGGAACTGGATTTGTGTATTTTTGAATCGTGTTTTGAATTTATGAACTGGATTTGTGCAATTTTGAATTATATTTTAAATTAACAAACTAGATTTGTGTAATTATGAATTCTGTTTTGAATTTACAAACTGGATTTGTGTAATTATTAATCATGTTTTGAATTCACAAATTTAATTTATGTAGTTTTCAATTAAGTTTTGAAATTTTTAACAGAATTTCTGTAGTTTTAAATCATGTTTTGAATGTATAAACTGAATTTGTGTAGTTTAGAATCGATATTTGAATTTATTAACTGAATTTCTGTAGTTTTAGATCATGTTTTGATTTTATGGACTGAATGTGTAGTTTAGAATCGAATTTAGAATTTATGAACTGAATTTTGTAGTTTTGAATCGTGTTTTGAATTTATGAACTGAATTTTTGTAGTTTTAATCATGTTTTGAATTTATAAACTGAATTTGTATAGTTTAGAATCAATATTTAAATTTATGAACTGAATTTGTGTAGTTTTGAATAAAGTTTAAAATCTCAGAACTGGATTTGTGTATTTTAAACCTATAAAGCTTTAAATAATCTAGCTCCTGTTTATCTAACCAACCTTCTGTCTCGCTACAATCCAACTCGCTCTTTAAGTTCTCAAAACTCAGGACTTCTGGTAGTACCTAGAATAGTAAAGTCGAGTTAAGGCGGTCGAGCCTTCTCATTTATGGCTCCTAAACTCTGGAATAGCTTTCCTGATAATGTCCGAGGCTCAGACACACTCTCGCAGTTCAACACTAGATTAAAGACCTATTTTTTAGTAAAGCATACACTCAGTCCATCACTTGATATGATACATGATGTGCCCCACACAGGTTTCTTCACCTCGTTTATATGCACTATGAACAGCAGCTACGCTAATTATTCTCTTTATTCTCTATTTCCACTTGGGGATACTCATCCCGAGACCCTCAGACCCTGCGACGCCACTGATTTGATCCAAGACCAGCGCGAGATGATCACAAGGTTTCCATATCCTGGACCAGGCCGTATCCTGAGCAGCTACTGTGGTGGACATGGAGGAATGGAGAGCATGAGACCAGGGTCTGACGAGTCTTCGCTGATGTCCAGCTTCCCACCTCCAGCACTTGGACTGCAGCTCTGCATAAGAACTTGGCCAGTGGAAAAATTATCATGCCCATCTGAGCCTGGGTCTCACGAGAATCGAGAGAACCTTCGCATTGATGGATTGCTCTTCAGTGTTTGGACTCTCAGAAGCGATTTTTAAACCACACTGAACTGAACTGAACTTAAACTTTGAAAAATTATCTACACTGTTTCAATGTATTATGATCTTTTATGTGAAGCTGCTTTGACACTATCTACATTGTAAAAGCGCTATACAAATAAAGGTGAATTGAATTGAGTTTAATATTTTTGAGTCGTGCTTTAAATTTTTGAACTGGATTTGTATATTTTTGAATCAGGATTTTTTTTTTTTTACTGGATTTGTGTATTTACGAATTGTGTTTTGTAAATGTGAATTGTGCTGTGCATGTGTGGATTATATTTTTTAGTTTTATTATTAAGACTGACCTGGCTTGATATAATTTGGCTGACTTTGATGCAAAATATTTACCCTGAATTTTAAGTAGGCAAAGATCAACCTTAACTTTGCCTCAATTTTTTCAGTTTAAGTTTTTTATTCTGAATTTATTTCCAACTTGAATGCATGACAACCAACTCGAAGGTAAGAGTTAGATGCATTTGAAAGCAGAATGATAGCACTGTAGGATACGAAAGAGATGATAGCAAGCTCTACAAAACATAATGAGACATCAAGTATAATGTAACTCATACCTCTGTGATGTCTCTCATACACCATGAGCTTTCCATCCCGCAGGCCAGCAAACAGAACATTATTGCAATGTTTGAGACACAAAACTGGACAGCCCTCAGGATTATGGAGAGTCACAAGACACTGGGCAGCGGAGTCCATACTGCCATAGACCAAGATGCTTTGAGAGAGAAAAACAATAAAGATATAAGGACATCTATAGAGGAAATATAATTGTAAAATGGAGAAAATAAAGCTAAAGCCTCATTTCCAACTGTGTATTTTCCGTTATATTGTGTAATGATCTTTTAAAGAGGGAAATTTAGTTTCTCTGAAGCTAATCAGTTCCTTTCATTTGCATAGAGAATGTCTGTGAATACCCATTGTTCTTCTCAACCTCCACAAATGATTAAATTTGCTCAGAAAATCAGTGATTTTAAGAGAGGAATCTGTTTAATTTCTGACAAAAGGACTGCACCTCATTTTTTTCAATGCAACACTGAGGACAAAAGTTTTTAACAAGATAACAATTTATACTGTTTTAATGCTGTGAAGATTGCATCTGAATTGATATCACTACATGCAGTTGCATATGTACAACAATCTGTTGTACTAAGCGTTGTCCTTGAAAACCATTTGGAGTGGGACCTATAGATATATTTACTGTACATATATCTGTCTAAGCTTACATTTTTTGTGTTTGTATTTTTTGCAGTTACAGTGCATCCTGAAAATATTCATAGTGCTTCATTTTTTCTACATATTTTTATGTTACAGCCTTAATCTTAAATGGATTAAATTCATTTATTTCCTCAACATTCTACACACAATACCCCATAATGACAATGTGATTTTCTTTAAATGGTTGCAAATTTATATAAAAAAAAAAATAAATAAAACTTAAAAATCACGTGAACATAAGTATTCACAGCATTTGCTCAATACTTTGTTGATACACATTTGGCAGCAATTACAGCCTCAAGTCTTTTTGAATATGATGCCACAAGCTTGTCACAACCCTCTTTGGGAATGTTTGCCTATTCCTTTTTTTCAGTACCTGACAAGCTCTATCAAATTGGATGGGAAAAAGTGGTATACAGCCATTTTCAGATCTCTCCAGAGATGTTCAATAGGATTTAGATCTGGGTTCTGGCTGGGCCACTCAAGGACATTCACCGAGTTGTTTTGAAGCCACTCCATTGATGTTTTGGCAGTGTGTTTTGAGTCATTGTCCTGCTGGAAGATGAACCGTCGCCCAAGTCTGAGGTCAAGAGCACTCTGAAGCAAGTTTTCATTCAGGATGTCTCTGTAGATTGCTGCATTCATCATTTCTTCTGTCCTTATTAATCTTCCAGTTTCTGCTGCTGAAAAAACATCCCCACAGCATGATGCTGCCACCAACATGCTTCACTGTAGGGATGGTATTAGCCTGGTTATGAGTGGTGTCTGGTTTTCTCAAAACGTAATGCCTGTCATTCACTCAAAAAAGTTCAGACCCTGAACTAAATGACCTGGCTAAACATAGTCTTTCTTTTAAAAAGTTTTAGTCTCATCAGACCAGAGAATTTAATTTCTTATCGTCCTTCAGATGCCTTTTGGCAAATTCCAGGTGGGGAGTGGCTTCTGTCTGGCCACTCTACCATACAGGCCTGATTGGTGGATTGCTGCACAGATGGTTGTCCTTCTGTAAGGTTCTCCTCTCTCCACTCAAAAAACATTGGAGCTCAGACAGAGTGACCATTGGGTTATTTATCAACTCCCCTGAGTAAGGCCCTTCTCCCCCAATCACTCAGCTTAGATGGCCGGCCAGCTCTAGGACCTGGTGGTTCCAAACATCTTCCACTTATGGATGATGGAGGCCACTGTGCTCAATGGAACTTTCAGAGCAGCAAAATTGTTTCTGTAACCTTCCCCGGCCTTGTGCCTCAAGAAAATCCTGTCTAGAAGGTCTAAAGACAATTCTCTCATGCTTGGTTTGTGCTTTGACATGCACTGTCAACCCTGAGACCTTATATAAACAGGTGTATGCCTTTTCAAGTCATGTCCAATCAACTGAATTTACCACAGGTGAAATCCAATTAAGCTTCTGAAACATCTCAAGAATGATCAGTGGAGACAGAATGTACCTGAGCTCAATTTAGAGCTTCACGGCAAAGGCTGTGAATTCTTCTGTACATGTGATTTTTCAGCTTTTTTGTTTTTAATAAATTTGCAACAATGTCAAAAAAAAAAAAATCACATTGTCATTATGGATTATTGTGTGTAGAATTTAGAGAAAATAAGGCTGTAACATAAAAAAATTTGGAAAAAGTGAAGGGCTATGAACACTTTCCAGATGCACTGTGTATGTATGTTTATGTGGAATTGACTATGTATTATCTGCCATGATGATATCCTTTACAATTATATATATATATATATGTGTGTGTGTGTGTGTGTGTGTGTCCTATACAATTATAGTGTTTGTTCTTTTTGTTAAAACGAAATGACTCTGGAGTCATTAAACCTCTTATTAGCCTACTAAGCATAGTAGTCACCTGTTCCTTAACTTTGTGTACACTGCAATGCCTGTAATAGCGCCTTAAATCTGATTAAAAGGCTTTTACCTCTCTCGTTTCCCTTATTGCTAGATGTGTCCTCAAAACAAACAGCTATTAGGTTATTAGTCTTGGCTACCACTTCACTCTCACACACCGCCATGAGAGCTGACAGGAAAATAAGGCAGCATTGATGTGGCATTTCATTTACATAGAAGCAAGCAACATCAATATCTCAGATACCAAAGGCTTTGGTGGGTCGAGTTTTCTCAGAGCTACTTTAACTTGGCTCTGTAAAATCCCTGTTAGATTTCAAAATCCAAGACTTTTAAGACTCGCAGATTATATTAAAACCATATTGGTAGCATATTGACACAGTTATGAAAACATATAATCAAAACATTAATGTTTAAATAACACAGGTAAAAGTAACACTATATGTGACCCTGGATCTTATATTGCCTTGGTATTTGTATGGGAAATTTATATAAAAATCATCTTTCATTTAAGACACTTTGTCAATTTAAATCTGTAAATATATAAAAGCTTAAGTAAAATGCATTTCTAAGAATAGAATTTGGACATTTTTAAAGGAGATTTTCTATTCATATTATAACTATTGTACTGTTTTAACTATTAGTGTTATTCAATGTTGAGCAAGCTACTCAAAATGCTACTTAAAATGAATGAACTAAGCTATTTGTTACACTCCTTAAAATGCAGCTTAACTACACTAAAAGCTATTTTATTAGCTACATCTAAGCTATTTATTTATTTATTTATTAGTTTGTTTGTTTGTGTGTTTGTTTGTTTATTTATTATCTTTTTTTATTTTTAAATTGAAGCAACTTCCATTCTTTGCGATAAATAAAACTGCCAATGAAACATGCAGCATAATTGTTAAGTTCAGTTATTTACTTTAATTAATAAACAAATATTCTTTTGCAAACAGAAATAATTTTACAAGAATTTAATAAATTATGTGTTGCACATTTTAAATACTATAGTAATGTATAGTAAATGAAAAATAACAGAAATTGTATTATAGTATATATTTACATTTCTGGTAATGAATTCTACTACATAATACAGTGTTGTTTAAAAACACAATAGTGTTTTAAATATTTTAAATACCTCATTTACAGTACATTAAATTACAAAAAAAAATATATATATATATATATATATATATGTGTGTGTGTAAATGCTCTTGGGCACATTTGCAAAACAAACAGTGAATCAATTTAAAACCAATTCAACTCTAACAAGAGCACAGCATCAGAATTAACTTTAAGACATGTACTTTAAGGTATGGTCCTGCTTCAGATATAAGTCCTCAACAGCAGGGGTGCCCAAACATTTTTATATAAAGAGCCAAAAACCAAATATCAATGAAAGCCGTGAGCTTATGGTAAATATACCAATCTATATTACATTAAAGTTGCCATGAATAATTTCCTGATTTATTTAAGCAATTAAATGATCGTTAAATGATAACTATTGTAATTAAAACATAAACAATCACATTTATAACAGTGGATTTTAATACTGAATTCATTAGTCAAGCAGAATCAGCCTTTGACTTGATTTGCTCACTAAAGTGTCTGCATTTTCACGTAACAGTGTGTGCATTTAAATTAAATCTGATTAATTTACACCATTTATCTGAAACACTTAATTTGAATTAGCTTTTAACAATAAAACAAACAAATAAACCTTGCCCATCATTCTCCCTCTCGCTCAGATTGGATGGTGGGCCAAATCAAAGGTTACCATGGGCAAACTTTGGCCAGGGGAGCCTCTGCTCTTTCAATCAAGCAAGTTTCTCATGTCAGCCCAAAGACTGGTTGACGACGTCGTCGACCAGAGCGAGTGGTGGCAGTAACTCAACAAAAAGTTTGTTTTCAACCACCGTAAAACACAAAGAAAAAGAATTTGTCATTCTTGCTATTTTGTATTCACTTTCATCGGCCAGACACTGCCTGATTGCAGCTCTGTGAATGTCACTTAATGATCCGTGATCGGTAAATGTAGCTTCTGTGGACGTTACTGCGCTACTTGCTTAAGATAACAACTTGGCTACTGTAAAGCTAATTGATGTAGAAAGTAGCAACATTACCACACTACTGAGAAATGTAGCTAAGCTACTAGCATCACTACTTGTAGCAACGCTACTGCCCAACACTGGTGTTATTATAGTACATTTTTATCAGAATTAATAAGTATTTTATAATTGTACTGAGGAACATATTGCACATTTTAAGCAGTCTATATATTACCTGCCATCATCAAGTCCTACACAGATAGTATTTCCAACTTCAGTGGAGCTGTGCAGGCTGGTTTCCGCATCCTCTGATGGGCTGGGCTCAGGCACATACTCCAGACACCTCACTTGAGCTCCCATCTGGAGGGATTTTACAGGCCGAGGTGTGGGTCTGTTCAAGGAGAAGATGTCCACCTGGCCTTGAGTGGAATCAGCTCCACTAGCTACCTGCAAAAACAGAGCAAGGGCACCACTATTACGGGCAGTCATCCAACCAAAACTGCTCTCATATCTATGACTGTACAGGTAGAGAAAGAAAATGGCAGAGGAATGGAAGGATCTTTGTGTTGTTCTGCCACTTTTAAACACTCCCCCAGCTTTGTGCTTTCACTTCCAGTTCCAAGAACAAGACGGAGGAAATTTCCAAACAGCAGAAAACTCTCTTTCACTTCCTGTGTACTTTAATGCTTTTCAACCCTGTTATTTTATTCTTGTCAATTTCAATTTCACAAAAACAGGAAAGTTAAAATCACATATCTCGTAAAAATCTAACTCATAGTCTTCCACTTGATAAAGCCTCTAAAATGCATGCGCTATCACCCCTAATGCATTCCCAGCGTCAGCCCGAGAACTTCAAACATCTTTTTTTGAAACTCCAGGGATCTTTTCATCGCAGAAGCAGAGGAAAAGGTGGGGTGGAGAGATGTCTTTTGAAAGAAGCTGAGCTGTTTGACAATGGAGGGTTTCCTTTGGGCTGATGATTGATCGCCTTCTTAAGACAGAGACTGAGATGACAAACTCGATCCTTGGTGAAATTACATGTAGTTGACAGAATAAGACTTCAGCACAGTGCTGCTCATAAATCTATCCCCTGGTGCCTGGCCTCAACAATTGATCTAGGTTCTGCACCCATCTATTTTCCTACCGACTTGCTTTAAAATGCAGACTCTTGTAACACATTGGGATTGCATTGCATCATAAATTAATAATCCCCCCGTTCGAAAAAATAGTGTTTGTCTTCACCCCCTGCACGGCCGCAAAGTCTCTCCCATGGTTAGTCGTTCATGCATTATGCAAGGAAAGCAACCCACTCGCTATTAGAAATTAAACGAACTGATCAGCATCCCATCATGCCCGCCACACAAATTGGCTCATCTCTTCTTGTGCGGCACTAAACTGCTCCAATTACAAAATCCATACAAAAAAGCCTTCGAGAGGTGGTTTAACCGAGGGATATAAAGGGAAAGAGTATTACAGAGAGTCTGCTGGCCTCATTATAAATGGCCCTTGTTTAGGGCCCATCATTTATGATTACCTCTGGATAGTAAGAGACTGGGGCTGTAATCCCAAGCAAAGAACAGGAAAACAACAGCCGAATGGGAGGGATGCTGCTGGACAGCAGAGATTAATTCTTATTCTGAGTCATGTTGTGTGCGCAATATGACCTGGCTAAATATAGTCTTTAGCCTTACAGTTCCCCTCTAATTTGCATGCAATCATTTGTCTGATTTGTATCACGGCAGAGAATCTGGACGACCAAGGTCTCGTGGGTGAGGCAGCACAAATAATGGCCTGTTGAGGCAGCGCAGCGGGAGATAGTGAGGACTTATCTTTCAGCAAAAGGCTTGGAAAATTACTGAATCCCCCCACTTTTTTTTTTTATTCAGCCACAACCTCCAGCGGGCCCTCCTGCTTCCTCACACAGGCGTAAATCCACAATGATCTACCCCTACTGGAATTCTAGTTCCCCAGCAAACTCATCAGTACTTGTTTGGAGGAGTGGATGTCTGGAAACATGCCCTGGATGCATCTTTGTTTTTCTGGCTGGAGAGCCGTGAAAACCAGCCCCACAGCCAATGCTCTGGGCAACAGAGCATTAATTAGGCTAAAATTGACTAAGAGTCTAAAGGGAGCAAAGTTAGTCTGGGGAGAAAGACTTCATCTGTTTATTTGTACACATGGACAAATTCAAACATTTGTCTTTTCTTCATGTCAGAAGTGCACGAGCACATCAGAACTAGGATAAGTTAATCTTAAGGGATTTGCTGTATTATGCAACACTGCATCCAGTCTACACAGAATCTATGATTATAATAAGACCTATTATTTTTTTGTCATATTACGCCACTCACGTCTCGTATAGACACATTGTCACCACATTGTCCTTTTAAGATAATGAGCTACAAAGTTTTTGCATTCCATAGCAAACAAAATGTGTGTAACATTTGTTTTTTAATAAAAAGTCTTAAAAAATTTAAACAACCTATAAAAACATCCCATAATGTAAATAAGTTGTCAATGAACTTTTATTTAAAAGTTTTTAAAATTTTTAATTTTATTAGCTACACCTTACTAGTAGAGTATCTGGACCCGTTTTGCCTTCAGAACTGCCTCATCCTTTGTAGCAGATTCAACAAGGTACTGGAAATATTACTCTGAGATTTTTGTCCATATTAACATGATAGCATCACGCAGTTGCTGCAGATTTGCCGGCTGCACTATGATGCGAATCTACCGTTCCATCACATCCCAAAGGTGCTCTATTGGATTGAGGTCTGGTGACTGTGGAGGCCATTTAAGTACAGTTAACTCATTGTCATGGTTAAGAAACCAGTATGAGATGATTCACGATTGACATGGTGCGATATTCTGCTGGAGTAGTCATCGGAAGGGTACACTGTGGTCATAAAGAGATGAACAATGCATAATGGGTACTAATGGGCCATATTGTGCCAAGAAAATATCCTCAGCACCATTATACCACCACCACCACCAGCCTAAACCGTTGATACAAGGAATGACGCCAAATTCTGACCCTACCATTTGAATGTCGCAGCAGAAATCGAGAATCATCAGACCAGGCAACGCTTTTCCAATCTTCTATTGGCCAATTTTGGTGAGCCTGTGCGAATTGTAGCCTCAGTTTCCTGTTCTTAGTTGACAGGAGTGGCACCCGGTGTGGTCTTCTGCTGCTGTAGCCCATCCGCCTCAAGGTTCAACGTGCGTTCAAAGATGTTCTTCTGCATATGCCGATTGTAACGAGTGGTTGTTTGAAGTACTGTTGCCTTTCTATCAGCTCCAACCAGTCTGCACCCACAGAACATTCGCTCTCTGGATATACTTTTTCAGACAATTCTCTGTAAACCCTATAAATGGTTATGCGTGAAAATCCTAGTAGATCAGCAGTTTCTGCAATACTCAGGCCGTCTGGCACCAACAACCATGCCACATTCAAAGTCACTTAAATCACCATTTTTTCCCCATTCTGATGATCGGTTCTGATGAACTGCAGCAGATCGTCTTAACCATGTCTACATGCCTAAATGCATTGAACTGCTGCCATGTGATTGGTTAATTCGAAATGTGTGTTAAAGAGCAGTTGGACACAGTTGGTACCTAATACAGTGGCCGGTGAGTGTAGATTTACAGTAAATAAACATGCTGCTGCCATCAAACAAGCTATTTACTATTATAATTACCAATTAACTACATAATCCCATGAATTACCTTATGAACACAGGGCAGAAATCAATAACTACGCCTGAGCTTTTTGAGGTGAAGAAGCTGAGAAGAGTGAATTTGGCGGTTGACTGGCTGGCTTACTGTCTTGGACTGACTGGAAACAAAGTCATTATTTTGATCTAAGCCATGAGAGAAATCCCAGCAGCCCATCTTTGAGTGATCTGATTACTGTCACTGCTCATTTGGAACGCTAGCGGTGAAAACTGCCTGTTGTGATGATGATGTGTTATCAGTGACTTAAAAGTTTGGGAAATAGCAAGCGACTGAATCATTTCCTCTCTTCTCGCATCTCTCAGTCCAGCCGAGTTCACCGAGAAAATGACACCTGCTATAAGCGGAAGAGGTGTTGATTGCTTTAGGGGTTTCTTTAACCCCGCTATAGGCTTGCACAGGCAGACTTGCAGGAAAAGTCTAGTCAGAGCTGTCAGCTAAAACAACCTGAGGTTTGTCCGAAATCACTGCAACCACAAAAACAGACCAAGTAAAATGGTGGAAGCATGAGTAGACCTGGGATCTGAATTTCAGACGGCCCAAAAGTAATATATATAGATTATTTCACAACCACAACCCAGAAAGCAGACCATAAATACCAGCTTACTTGCTACTAAGAGCCTCAAATAAATGTCTGAGTGCATTTTTCAAAGAGTTGACATCTGTAACCTTTGTAAACTTTGTAAAATCAAATAACCATTTCTTCTCAGCAGACGAAGCCTATTGCCTTTTACATAGAGTTTCTGGAGAAGAGGCAGAAATTCAAAGCATAGCTCCAAAAGCAGGGAAAACAAGTTTACAAATGTTGCGTAATAGCACATTTTAACACATCTAATGAGGAACACTGGCAGCCCCGCTGAGACTAAATGGATGCACTGTATTAAAAAACTGACCCCTGCGATTTAAGCTGCTGAGATTTGGATTTAGGATCAGATGTCGAGGAAATTATATTTCGGATATGAAATACACAAGGACTTTTGGCACCAGAAAGAGGTCCGTAATCCGGCTAGATATAATTTCCCTGAATGGCTCTTGTATCTTTTAAATCCACATAAGTCCACCTTCATTGCTCTTTAGAATAACCACAAAAACAATTAACTCAAAGACACAGACAAGGGCGTCCTTTTGTGTCCAACCAAGGCTCCAATTGGATTTATCCCCCTGCTTTGGGGGATTATGTGATAAATTGCCCACTGCACCAAAGGAGGGAGGAAAATGAGACTACTGTGTGAAACTTTTAAAGGTGATTTCACAGGGCTTGTTATGAAAACCTGTTTATTCTGGCAGAAAGAAAAAAAAGTAGTGTAATTCTGAACCAGCAAGTATTAAGACCTACATCAATGGGAAGAATCTTGAATCTCTGATGCATACATGTGTGTATGATAATATTTGTGCATTTCTGTTTCTACATACCCACAGGTAGCCTTGAGGAAGTGAAGTGCTTGCCGCTGAGAAACCGAGTAAAGCACACTGAACAGGATTATGAAGAGCAGCCTCCAGCTAGAAAAAAAGAGATGAACAAAAATTAAATCTTACCTAAGGACTACCTGACAATTGAACATGTATTTTTTGTACACTTCAGTTATATTTGTGTTTAAAACAATGTGTATCTTTAGTTTTAAAGATGCTCTTTGTGTGATGCTACATCTGATATACACTATACCTGTCTTGTCGGCTATCCAAGTTTTAGGAACAACAAATAGTAACTTGACTTCTAGTTCACCATTTGGTATCAGAAGTGGCTAACATGAAAGGCAAAGGCTTCTAGATTACACTTATTTTACCAAAATAAAATATGATCATATCTTGATTTTGAATTATTCACTTAGGACAGTAAGGTCTGACTTTGCTTAGAAATAACAGACAGAAATAATGTACAGTATAGAATATAAAGTCATGGTGCAGTGGAAAAAACATTTAATATTGTGCATGACTCCCATGAGCTTGGACAACTGCATCCATACATCTCTGCAATGACTCAAATAACTTATTAACAAAGTCATCTGGAATGGCAAAGAAAGCGTTCTTGCAGAACTCCCAGAGTTCATCAAGATTCCTTGGATTCTTCTTCAATGCCTCCTCCTTCATCTTATCCCAGATATGCTCAATAATGTTCATGTCTGGTGACTAGACAGGCCAATCCTGGAGTACCTTGATCTTTTTTGCTTTCAGAAAGTTTGATGTGGAGGTTTCTGCAGTATTTGTAATGATTGGGATGTAGTTTAACAGATGCTTCATTGAAAAAATCAAGCTTCTGCCACTTAACCAAATGATGAACCAGAAGTTATTATTTGTTGCTCTTACAACTAGGATCGACAACAAGACTTTTGTCAGGTAGTATATAGTGCTAACAACACTATACATACTTTACACTTGAGATTATTTAAAAAAAATCTAAAATTAACCTCAGATTTAGTCCTATATTTGTATCTCTGTTCTCGGTATTTACATTTAAATTTAATTTTCATTTTAGTTCTTGATTTTTGTGGCAACCAGCTGATCAAGTATATGATTTATATATACAGTACACACACCTACACATATGCATACAATAAATAACATTTTTCTTCTTGTTTTAGTTCTTCTAGTTTTTTATAAATCAATTAAAACGTGTTTCCATGGCAAATACTGATTTTTAAAAAATGTTTTATTTTGGGTAAAAACCTTCATTTTTATTTTATTTTAATAATGTTTAGAGAAGTCTACAGAAGAATAAAGCAAAAAATACTGAATATTTTCTGGTTACAATGAAGCAATGTGCTTCAGTTCAAGTGGTGGGTGGCATATTTACAGAGACCATAATGTTGCATGACATCATGCCATATTAACAGACCACAAGCAGCCGCTGTTTGGAAATGTTTATAATAAATGTGAGAATTAAAGCTGGGAGATATGGCAGAAAGCACATCTAATTTAAATAGGAAGAGTTTGGGTATCTGTGACCGCTGAGTGTCTTTCATGTTGCCCACAGTGGAAACTAAGCATCAGTTTCCTATTAATTTCCCTACTTTTCTCAGATTGCTAACATAAACAGGTCCATAAAATAATGGCAAGCACTAGAGGTGCTCGATTCCAGGTGTTTCAGACTTGACTTCTTGACTATTTAGAGTACATCAAAACAGGGTCAGGAATAGCAGCCTGCTGTTATTATTATACACCTTATTTGTTTCCCCCTGACATGATGTCTTATACTGTATTCCCCTTGAAACAGCACACAGCATAACTGTGCAAATTAGTCAAGCTTAACCAATGGCATTAACATGAAGTGATAAACAGCTACTGTATTAACGTCATTAGCCATTGTATGCCCATGCTTAATTTCAAAGCAGTAAAAGTCACGAAGAGCAGCCATGAATGAATTGTATTCAGAATGAAATAACCTACAAGAAATAATTCTCCACATTTTAATGGTCAGATGAAGGAGCTAAATCAGAGCTATTCAATTAGTTTGTCATGAGGGCAGGTTCATGTAAAGCATCCCGAACGAAGGGCCGGAGGGATATGACTTGCTATTTGAGTGATAACACAACTGCATATAAGAGCCCATATGCTGTATTTTTCCTTAAGTCCCCCACGTTGGCTTTTTCTATATTCAATGTTAATATATTGCATTATGAAACTACATAATTTAGTTTTTTTTTTACAAACATTCAAATGTTGCATTTCAGAGCACAACAAAAGCAGTGCATTGGTGAAGTAGGCCTCTTCTACATTTAGTCACATTCATATGTTACTTTGTATTTCATACAGCATAACAATTAGGGATGCAACATATTTTATACTAGGTAAGTAGTTATTTAGATTACCTGTTGTTGCCATCTGCTTTCATGCATACATAATCATTTAAATAATAATTAGTCTAACATATCTTTTGTTTACATTGCACTGAAAGGCACGCACAACTCTAACAGTGAGATGTTTTCTACTGCGTGCGCCCGAAAAGACGCAAGCGCGTGGCTCCACTTGTGCACGCATTGTCATATATTCTTACAGTAGAAATAACAAACTTGCAAGCTGAAAAGACATGATATGGGAACAGCCACTGCTACAGTTAATCCGGTGTGCGTGTGTATTAGCCTTGGTGTACATCCTTAGAACTTTAAACTAGCGCCAGTTGGCAACTTGGCATAACTTTGTTTAGTTGCAGCAGTTTCGTTTTGTTCCGTGCAAAAGAAATGCGGCTTAGAGAAGCCTTAACGATTAATCAACTGCGACAAATTAAAGCGCAGTTAATAGTGAAATCGGCTAATCATTGCATACCTATTGACGATATCATTGCATAGTACAAAAGGCCTTTTCTACAAACACAACCAAATGTGTTTGGCTGCTCGCGCCACTCGCTTATGGTGACTCACGCTCTGCGCAGCCTTCAACTGCAGCTCTTGCTGTATTGAACAGACGCACATCACTTCATAACTATAGCAACCGTTTTTGACTAAACTAAATTTATTTACGTTAATGTAGGCTTATTGGCTTTTTACAAGTGTCTTAGCTATGAGTTTTTAATGATTATGCAAAGATTATAAACACAATTAGGAAGGATTATAAACACAAAGTGAAGTCTACTTGACTGCTATTGAATTCTAAAGTATGCAAAATTTGACAAAGTTTAATATTAAGTTTTTCTAAAGTTTCCGAATCCCTCACTTTCTTCCATTCACTCATCACACAGTGAACGATTTCAGACTGCAAAGCACTAAGCACATAAAGTTTCCTTTCCTCTTGCATCCTGACCATTTATCCCATTTCTTTCTATCATTCATCCATCTGCGGTGACAGAAAATGTCTAATTTGTAATTAAATGCCAGTCATGGCAGGAGCGCATATGGCAGCCTGCGGGCAGCAGAGCTCGGCTGGTGGATGGAGAAACAGACTGTGGCTTTCCTGAGTCACTTGAGAACTGCTGCTCAGTGAGGAGCACAGGCAATCTTCACAGGTGGAGATTGCTTTGTCTTTGTCCATTCTCCGATGAATAGCAAGTGCATTTGCCTGAATATCTGCAGTCCCCTGGAGTCTAAGAGACATGCTGCATGACTCCCCAGCAACACATTTATTCTAGGTTCGCAAACTGCACCACGCAGGACTCCTGCCCAACTGTACACTGTACTACTTCTGGAGACAGACTTAATCTAGCACGAGCTGAATGCTGCTCTTTATGTATAAAATCTCAAACATGCTTTGTGACCTGTGGCAGTTGGTAATGGCCTGTCAGAAAGAAGGGTTATTCTAACACCTGTGAGTCTATGCTTATGCGTGAACTGAAATACATAATGTGCTAAGAGTGTAGTTAATTACAGGTTTTGATTTTAAAATGCTCTATAATATACAATTATAGGCATATGGTATCATCGAGATCAGCCTGTTTGCTTAGGCAATTAAAGAGATATTTATGAACACACAAAAACAAACACCCAAGATGGGTTATTGAAATCTGTGTGTGTGTACTTAGTATTCTATACATTGTGGGGACCAGATGGCCTGACAGGTATTGCAATACCAATAAATTTTAACCATGTGGGAACATGTTGAGAAGAAAAAGAGTATTGATTCTCTTTTAAAAGTTTGGCAGTAAATGTCACATCATATCAATATGATTGATTGAGTCATTCATTTGAATTATTTAAATGACTGATTTATTCTTGATGTAAGCTTTATTATGGCCTGTTTCCACTGAGTGGTACGGTATGGTTCAGCTAACCATACCATACCACTTTTTAGGTACCCTTAGCAAAGGGTACCTAGCTCGACAAAAGGGTACCAAAAGATGGAGCTAGACACGCAGCTAAATGCAATTGTTTACAGAGATGCTTCACGAGCTCGTACACAAGCAGGAGATTGAAAACAAAGAAAGCGTCATTTTTAAATACACAGTAGAGTCACTACATTGTAATACTATATACATGTAATGACAAGCCCTGGTGGACTAAAGCTCAAACAAACCTTGTCATCATCTTGATGAACAACCACAAAGCCAAGAAGAACAAAGTCTGCTATGTTCTGTTTTTGTTTTACGAGGCCGTCTAAAAGTGCGAGCGGCTTCTCCAGAGAGCTTTCTGCAATTCTATATTTGACATAATGAACTTTTTGAGCTGTTGATGATAACGTGCTTGTGATTATTGAAATGCTTCTGACATCCGATCCTTTCTGAAACGGACAAACAAAGGAGAAGCTGGAAAAAACAGAGCAAATGATTCTTTAGCAACCTAAACCATGAACAAACTGCTATGTTTAATTATCATCATCGCCTTTTGGACTATTATGAACTCGGAATGAGGGAATTACTGTCTAACAGAGGTTACATGTGCTGATGAAGATTAAAGATACAGATGAGGGGTTTGCACTGACTGTAAGCTATATGTAGCATGTTGTTTTTGAACCCAAATAAGAACCAAAGGCCCATGCATATGAAACGTTTTTTGGTCTCGTTTTCCGTAAACATTTAATGTCTCGTGATTAAACAAAGGGCGACAATGTGATTGGGCACACCAACGCACTAAACG